CATGCTGACTTGCTTGCTTTTTCAGCGTGCAGCTCAAAATGGCTAATGAAAATCTCTCTATCAAAATGTCGTTATGTGTGCTTTGGACCTGATAGGCTACCCCATCCAGAGGTCTTTCAAGGCACACCTATGAGTTAATTTTCCACCATCAAGGATTTAAGTTTAAGCTACACCAATAATCTAAATTTCTCGCCACACTCCAATAGAATTACGACCACAGCTGCGCAGATTTATGGCTTATTTTCTACAATTTCCATCTTCCTGAAATAAAATCAAGACTTCATCGAATGGTTGTACCTCCCATTCTTGAATATTTTTGTCCATTATTTAGTTCAATGAAAGAAGATAGTCTCTCAAAACTTTGAGATGTTCAGAGACATTTTTTAGAAGACCCCTAATCACGGTACACCCACATACTCCTTACTCAGATAGATGCCAGTTGACTAACCTAAACTTTTTATAGACTTGAAGACTGGAAACAGGCTTATGTCTCCTCTTTCGCATTAATCGTAGTTCAAATCATCCTTAGATTTCGGCCCTTATTCCTGTTAGTCGCCATACAATCTTAGTAATTCCCCATACATATACATCCTCCGACTCCCCTCACCTCTAAACGCTCTGTTCCCTTTGCCTTCAGGCATATTTTCCTTCGGAATAACTTTCCAATAGATAGAAGATTATCAGATTATCTACATACTTCTAAGAGGAGGTTGCGCCTTTATCTGAATACTGACTCGATTAAACTTTTATTTTCCTCATCCTTCCCGGACAACTTTCTTTATGACATTGAGAAAGGTCCATCAGCAATTTCGGACGCTACCACCAAATTAGAGCATCCGCTCTCATTTCCTTCTCTATGTGGGGTTTTATTTTCTAGGATTTGTTATCGGGAATTTCGATGTCATCGATTTTCAGTCTATGCATAGTGTCCCTCACGGAGCGCGATGTCCTTCCCAACAAATCCATGCGAAGAAGTAGAGGGGTTACGTTGCCGAACGCGCTCTGACCCGCCTCCGTTTCGCTAATCGCCGACCATCATCAGGAACCCGCTCTGGGATCTGAGATTTCGAACCCTCATTTCCAACCGATGATTTTCTCGGCTCTTGATTTCATCACCCCATTACGACCCCAAGCAGTTGGTTTACGATCGTGGCGGAATCCTCTGTTTTCCTCATTTGCTAGTAACTTGGCCGATTAGCGAAGAGTTCTCAAAGTCGCATTCTCCCCTCCACGCACTGATGACCGCTCCAACATTTAATTTCCCCTTCTCGGCTGGACTCTTAGCAGACTTTGGCCGATCGCGTCTATGTTCCTCTTGGCTCGCCACTTTGAAACGGATAGCCTTGTCAGGTTTGCGAATTCTGTCTTGATGATATCCGTTCTGAATACCATTTGCAATACCATGCGCAGGCCAGTCCTGTCCGAACTGCATACTTACCCACTCATGGGCTACAGTTTTGTTTTCCAAAAAGGTTAATCAATTCATATTCATTCTGTTTTTTCAAAAAATGGAGTTTTTATCGCTGTAAGCTAGCAGTTTTTCGTGGGGCTGATTGAATCCTGTACAGAGAATGTCTACTCTTTCTAAAATTCATTTTAAAATTTATTTTTACTTGCTTCGATAGTGCCCTGATGAGTACTTAATTGAATTATTCACTCAATTGTTTATTTTTATCCAACAAAACTTGACACGGACTCCATGGACGACTATGTCAGGTCATTACACCGGAGCTCATACCTCTAAAACGCTGCCCGTGGAAGCATTTAACCTCTTATACTCCACTCTACTGATAATTCTAAATACCATAATAGACGAAAGATCGGCGTATAAGGAAGGTATCGGAAGGCCCGACTGAACACGAAAGAATTATTTAGCGCCCCAACTGTGGTCATTACGACTTGGCTATCACCTCGCAGTTACTGTCTCTGATATTGGCCCGGGAATAGTAAGTACAGAATTACTTTGGACATTTTAAAATATTTTTTCACGTATCGAAATTTGTCAGGAAACCGACTCAAGCACAATATGTTTATCAGCACAGTTCAACTGACTACGCGGCTGACGCGCGTTCAGTTATAGCCCAAGTAACAACCGCTCCAAATAATTCAAAATCCGAAGTTACCCAAGTCCTTCTAGATCTGCAAACAGTTGAGTCGTTTTTGAATAGACTTTGTGCAATGTGTCAGATTTTGAGTATCTTTTCTCGTTCATTGAGTTTTGAGTACTCATTTTAATTCCTCACATACAATCCGAAGTATTCGTTATAACCTTCAAAGCGAAAATATACGCATTCCTTCATTCCGACGTTTGTGGAGTCTCGACAATCTAACCACAATATTATGACCATCTCCAGTACCTCATCAGGATATAAGTTTTATGAAATTCCCTTCGCATTAAAAGTTTGCGCTCGCTCTATCTACGCTTCCAGTCAACGACCAGCAAAGAGCACCAAAAACATAATTACCGCGAAAAGTGTGAGATACGAGGGTGAGTCTTGTAGTCAGCGCGCCTATATTCAAATCAAAGTAAGACAACATGAGAACGAAATTGCTGAGGCGAGAACAATCAAACAGCACAACTTTGATAACCAGAAGAAAGTTGCCAGCTTTATTGTCAAAAAACGAGAAAAACGCAAAACACGAAAAAATATCGCCTCGGGAGCATATTCAAACACAAGTACCATTGGTAGGGGGCGCTCACCGATCGTTCTTACGGAACTCACTCGTTCCGTTGTGCCTTACGGGCTCTCTCTCGTGTCCAATCAGCAGTCGCACAGTGGCGCATGATATAGGCAGAATGGCGCCACCGACAAAGACAAGGGAGACTGGAATGGCCACTTCTGGCTTATTAGCCGTCGTCAGCCAGTCATACCCAAACCCGAAGTACTATTTTAGGAAGCACAGACGCGGGTAACGGCAACAACAGGGCGATGATAATGAACCCGCCAATAAGACCAGATCTGATTTCCACGCAAGGCGGCCTCTGCGACGCCAAAAATGTCAGATGTCGCAGGGGTCATCTTGCCTACTTTTCTTGCTGAAAGTGTCAGAATTTCTCCTTTTCCAATGGACGATAAACTAGGTCAACCTATCTTCAATTATCTTCCTGTTTTCGCAACCACTCTGAGTGCGCTATGGAGCAAATATTTGAATGCAAACAAAATAGAAAAGGTTTATTATAACGCCTCTTGGGCACTGTTAGTTTCCTCTGAACTCAGAAAAAAAACCCAAAATATACTCATCCCTTTTGGCTGCAGTTTGACTTCATTTGTTTTGGGTGTCTGTCTAACCAATAGATCGCCAATCGAGAGTTTGTTTTAAGTTAAAAAACCTGAGTCCGAAGGCAAAATAATCGCAAAAGTTCTAAAAAAGAACGATAAGTACAATATGCAAATTGAAGTGTACAGTTTAGTAGTTTTTGGGGGCATCAATAATATGTCCTTCATGGAAATTGAGGAACTTTGATATCGGCCTGACCTTGGAATTATCTTCAAGTTGAATAAATTTGGGTGTCTCCAAGTCGTCGGTTGTCAGTCTCTCTGTGTAACGTTCCCGTCTAGTGCAAGTATATAGTCAACGAGGCCCAACAGGATAAGACGGACCTGTCGCTATTTTACTGAAAGACCTATGTACGAAAAGAAACTATGAGAGGAATCCTAATTACAAAAATAAGCAGAATCTTCGGCGATTGTCCACAGGGGCGACTGAGAGTACTGGGATACAACGAAGAAGGTGACAGGGGTTCCTCATCCGAGGACGGCGATCACCACGGGGTTGTCGAAGGTTAATCCTCGCCGAATTTATAGCTTCTCCAGGGGCCGTGGGCGTCGAGGTTGAGTTCACCATTGTTGATTGGTTGAGGGTAGGTCAAGGGTGAAAAGTTAAACAAACTTAGGCCAGGGCTATTTTGCTTAATTTAGGCTTACAATAATTTATTATCTGTATATTTTTTATGAGAAGCCAAATTGCGACCAAGTGCCTGGCATATAAATATGGAAAAGTTCGGCGCGCGCCCCCTAAGGGGAGCGCTTTCTAGAACCTTCTACAAAGATGGCGACAGCACGTGGTCTGACTTTCTAAAACTTCCTACATTGCTCTTCCTCTCGAAAATGGTCTGCTGCCCCCAGCAGGATCTTCTGGTGCAGTAGCAGGTCCACCATCTGGGGCACTTCGACAGTCTCCCCTACCGGATGTCCATCTTTGAACACCTCAGCCGAAGCGTAACCGTCCTCTGGGGGGATCCCTAAATACTGTTCAACTAGTTGGTCGTTATATGAGTAGGACGGGCTGGCCCCCAAATTGGCACGGTCTGTGTCCTCCTCCGTCGATGGGCCTGTCTTTAAGCGATTGAAGTGTACCGTAAACTCTTCCGAATACGGTCTGTCCTGGCTGCGAACGACGCAAGTCCTGTCGGAGAGGGCCTTTCTAATCACGTACGGGCCTATCCATGCTGGGTTAAATTTCTGAGGTACACCCGGCGACGCTGCGAAATTTCGCATTCACACGATGTCTCCCTCTTAATATGGGGTCCCGTGTGATAGGCGATCATAGAATGCCTTTAGACGGCGCTGACCTTCCTGGAGATGCAATCGTGCTTCCTCCGATGCTGTGCGTAGGGTTTTCCGCATATTTGAGGCATACGTGTTTAAGTTCTCCATCGGATGTGTAGGAGGTAGGTGGACATCCTCAGGGAGTTGCATCTCCCTCGCGCACGTCAGGAATAACCGAGTACGTTGTGTAGGGACATTTACCGTGGATCGGCAAGTAAACATGCACGCTGACAAGGATTCGTCTCATGTGGGTGCTGAGTTCCGGTTGAGAAAAGTCCGCAACAGGTTTATCGACGTCCGATTCGTCCTTTCCACTCGGCCGTTGTCTTGTGGGTGGTACCAGGTAGTGCGGGTTTTCTTAATTTTCAGAGCCTTACACAACTCGCGTACGACGGTGTTCTCAAACGGCGTGCCTCGGTCTGAGTGGAGTTGGTCTGGGGCTCCCCAGCGTCAGATCCACCCGTTAAAGATGTCCCGGGCTACTGTAGGGGCAGACGCATCTGGTGGAGGCACTGCCTCAGCCATCTTGGTGAAACAGTCCACCATGACGAGAATGAATCTGTTTCCCCTCGCGGATGGTGCGATCGGGCCAACTAGATCCATCGCTACCCTCTCAATTGGATAGCCTGTCTTGGTTGGTTGGATGGGATATCGGAAGGAGTGGCCGGGGGACTTGAAGCCTAGACAGTGCTCACATGACCGGACAACGTTCCGTATGTCGTTCTTCTGATTCAGCCAATAATAGCGTCGACGAAAGGCCCACTCGGTCTTGTGGATGTGGGGATGCCCTAGTTCTGCATGTATCACTTCAACCACGTCATCCACAATCGAAAGCGGTAGGACGACTCGTTTTGGACATTGCTCATTGTCGCGGTAGACGAGAATGCCGTTCTCAATAAACAATTCGTCCCAGAGGCTGTGCAGGCATCGCGCCTCGTAACTATGATCCGCTAGTTCAGACTTACTGAGAGGCCTGGAGTTGCAAACTTTCCTATTATAGATGGGACAGATATGCGGGTCATCTCGATGGGCCGCGGCCCAGAGTAGACATTGATGGCTTTGCAATGGGATATCGGAGATAGTGATGTCCGTGCATGACGGACACTCCCCGTGGGGACGATGCGGTCTCCTTGAGAGTGCATCGACGTTACCATGCTGGCGACCGGGTCGGAACACGCACTCAAAGTCGTTTTCCGCTAACTTTTCTTGCCACCTCGCGACTTGCCCCTCGGCGTTCTTAAAATTTCGTAACCAAGTCAGAGCACTATGGTCAGTACGTACGATGAACGGCCGGTACTGGAGGTATGGCCGGCATTCTTCCACAAAGTGTGTAAGGGCTAGCATCTCCTTTCGAGTCACGCAATATCTTGGTTCTGCTTTCGTCAACGATCTACTTAAATACTGGATAACGCGCTCTGCACCGTCTGATTGTTGTTGAGGGAGAACCGAGTCGATTGCGGTGTCGCTGACATCGGTATCCAGGATGAACTTCCCCGCATCATTACTAATATCAGGAAGAACTAGGATTGGAGTGGAGCATAGTTTGCCCTTTAGCGTCTGGAAGCTAGTTGTGCAGTCAGCAGTCCACTTAAACTTGATGTTTTTCTGCTTTCTTTTGGGGAGCGGCCCGGGCGATTTGGGCGTAGTCCTTAATAAATCGCCTGTAATAGGAAGCGAGGCCTAGAAAGCTGCGGACCTCCGTCACGTCTCTGGGAGTAGGTCACTCACGGATTTGTGTGACATTTTCGTCGTCAGTCTCTATCCCTGCGGCCGAGACTACATGACCTAAGAACTTCACGCGGGGCTTTGCGAAAACACATTTCGATTGTTTCAGGGTCAAACCTGCCTGTTGGAGACTGTTAAACACAGCCCTGATATTCTTAAACTGGCCATCAAGGTCCTTTTTAAAGACAGTGATATAGTCCATGTAGATTGAACACGAGGTTGGTATTAGCTGTGCAAGGACCTGATTCATCAACCTCTGAAAAGCGCTGGAGCCGTTGGCTTGGCAGAAGGGCATCGTCTCGAAATCGTAGAGACCAGAGGGGACCGCGAATGCACTCTTTTCCCCATCAGAGGGACGCACTTCGACTTGCTGGTAACCGGAAGCTAAATCAAGCGTCAAAAACATAATGTTGCCGGCGAGGGCATCTAAGGTAGTATCTATCCGTGGAAGAGGGGAGGAGTCTTTCTTAAACACAGCGTTGAGCTTCCTTTAGTCAATGCACAATCACACTGAGCCGTCCTTCTTTTTTACAAGTACAACGGGCGATGACCAGGGCGACTGAGAAGGCCTTATGATATTACGGCTTAGCATATCATTGATAAGGGCATCTAGTTCCTTCTGGTAAAATATTGGGAGTCGCCTGGGGGAGCCCTGATGGATCGCGCATTCCCGTGTCGATGAAATACTCTGTCACAACTGGCCAGTAGCTAAGGGGCTATCGCACAGTTCGTTTGCGTTTTGCAGGAGGCTTGCCATAGTTGCTTGGACTAAGAGCTGGAAAAGATAAATATATATCAGGAGTAGGAAACATTCAATGGTAAGTCACAATCAAAGCTGTCAAAATAATATTGAATCATGTATCATATTGTTATTGTGAATGTGACATTATATGAGTAGTGGTCGACTGTTTATTATGATCTAGTAAAGTTGTATACATGTTTAATATGGCGTTAATATAGGCTTACGAACAACTAATACGCAGGGTTTTATCGAAAGGATGTTATTATTAGCGGCTTAGGGGATATTTAATGTCAGGCGACATAGCTGATTGAAACGAGAAAGGGAGGAAAGAAAGAATATCACTATCCGTTCTATGTTTATCAATGCTGTTGTCTTTCATAAATTTGTTCGTTTATAGTGTAATGTTCCGGTATTATTCAAGCGGCTAGTATCATCAGAGCCCTTGTGGACCAAATTCTACATCAAAGAATTGAACTGAAAATGTCCTATCTTATTCAAATTAAATGTGTATTGTTATTTGAAAGATATTTCTTAGTTTTTATTTTAAACTCGATCAGGTTTCGACTGTTTCCGAATAAAACTAAGAAGAGCATTCGAGATAGTGGCATATCTTATGGAGTAGAAATCTGACCGTTGGGACTTTGTGAATTTGGGATGTTTATAATATCTTCGTTAGTTCTGGAGTTTCTCGGGGCGTTTTGGTTTATTAGTAAATGTATTTTGAGAATATGTTGGTCATGGGTGACCGTGAATAGGAAGTTTAGACCATTTTGGAGTCTTCTGATCCAGAGGGGTCGAAGGCCGTATTTATAATATAGTTCTGGATATGAACCCCGGGTGCCATCACTTCTGCACAAAGGTTTAGTAAAACGTCTCTGAATGCCATCTAGTTTCTTTCGGCCGTCTGAGGTCATTATGCCGAAGAAAACTGAGCAATAATCTAGGAGGGGTAAAACGCTCGCTCAACATTCTTCGTAACATGCTACTTATTCGAAAACTATGAATTAAGTACTCGAATAATTCTGCATACCTCGTCTAAAATTCTAAAATTAATGTAAAAGTTATTCTTACTTGCTATGATAGGACCCCCACTGGTCTTGAATAAAACTTATTAGTATTATTACATTTTGAAAAGCCGTATTCTTATTGCATTTAAGGTGAAATTTTTACATATGAATCCATATAGACGAGTGGCCTTCGATTATATTTGTTGGATGTGTGGAGATGAGTCAAGTGTATTTGTATAGCTGAGACCTAAGTCTTTTATCGATCGGACTCTCAGCATCAAGAGTAACCGAATTCCATAAGGGATTAACTACGTCTGACGTGGAGAGGCCGCAGATGATGAAGGAAATGACCTATTTAAATCGACCATAGGTGTCATAATGTCGGTGTTGGTTTCCGACATTTTCCATTTGTCTAGTCTTCGCTGCATTGATGTGATGTTCGGCGAAACTGACCAACACCGTTTACGCAGAATCCTTCAATTACCTCCTTCCTCGACACCATGAAGTCGACTTCTCTCAAGGAAAAAAAGGGTAACTAGTACTGGCGAATTACGGCTGAGCGAACGCAGTCGTTTAGCTCTAGCGATACTGAAACTCAAGCCACAATTATTCAGAAACAAATGCGCTCCCTCTATAGCAATTAGATGAATCGGAATATTTCGCAGTATAAACTTATGCTTGCGTTTCATTCTCTCCTCAGTTTCGGAGCTTATTACCGCAAAACGTTTTCAGGTCTGTTGCTTATATCAGCATATATCAACTGATCAAGTATTTCGTCGGGTGCTGTTCTGTCAGAACTAGCAGAGGCGTAGCTTTGTACTCAAGAGGTCCTATATGGACTAATGGAAATTTTTATTTAACCATAGCCTGAGAAGGCAGCGAACACACACTGGCACCTGCTGTGTCTCCGGCCACGATTTCAGCACTCAGAGACGGCCTGAGGCCACGAGCTTACGTCCTTTAGCGCATGTTCTTTGGGGCATTACAGGTTACTAGATAGGTTTTCGGTTGCAGTACAAGGATAGAAAAGTTTCTAACGTACAGAAAAGCGCACAGAATAGCAAATACTACTGTTAGTTAAAAGAAGAAGAGGCGTTCACAGAAAGGGGTTTATCAGAGGTCCGACGTTTCGAGTAGTTGTTTCGTCCACCTATCTTCAGAGATTGGATAGTCCTGCGCACAGCTCCCCTTTTATGGTGAGCTTTGTTCAATGCGTGACCCGCCAGTGCCGCCTGTGTGGCTGCATTCAACCCGTATGTCACCGTGACCTGAATCACCCCCATCGGCCGCGGAGATGACTGACGGTCCCGATTGTCCAGCGCCGTGACTGCCTCATATTCTTTTTATATGCCACCTGGGAATCGCATTTTCACTTCTATTACCTACTGTTGGTTTATTGCAAAACTAGAAAGGGATGGTTTGGCACGGTGTCGCTAAGAAGGCGATTCACAAAATACGGCTACTTTACCAGATTGTCTAACAAGACTGGGGAAATTATACCCGGCAATAAAGAATTACTTTTAAGAAGGACTCAAAAAATAGGCATTAACTGCCTAGGAATACCAAAGCATAGGCATTGCTTCATTTATCTTCTTTTAATTTGCGTCCCTTACTTGTTGGGCAGGCGCCAACAATGCCAATGTTCTCCAATCCACCTTTTACCCAGTGTCCAGTGTGTGATTGGCCATCTGGGATAGATGTTCGCATATCTTCACCTCGAGCTGGTGTTCATGTGCACTGAATCTGCCCTATAGCAGTGTTACCTGTGTATTTCCAGTAAGCAAGTCTACAGTCAAAACAGAGGTTGATGGACAACTCCCATTACTGGATGTCCTCATACGTCTAAAAACTGATGGATCACTTCGCACATCAGTTTACTGCAAAGAGGCATAGTCATAGGTCATCCAACATTTTGAGAGTAACCACCCTGTCTTTCAAAAACGGAGTACAATCAACAAGCTTCTAGAACGAGCCAAAACACACTGCTGTGACGAAACATGGCATCTAACAGAAATAAAATACCTCTGTAAACTGTTCTCCCAAAATGGGTACTTGCATGACATTATAAGTCAATTCAAGAGGTACCAGTAGTTCAAGCTAAAAGGCATTCCCAATACTACGGCCACTGGGGCACTAAAACTAACCACCTGGCCAACTCATGCATATGTGGAAAATGTTTCTGAACTAATCAAAAAGAACTAAAAAACACCAGATACCCGTAGCATACCAGTGGACAACTACCTTACGCGCACAGCTTGTACACCCTAAGGATAGTGTTGGCTTCCTCGAAAAAGGGTTTTGTCTACGAAATCCAACGTCCCATGTGTGATGGCGTCTATTGTAGCTAGACTGCGCAATTCGTTTAAATCGAATGCATGAACATCAGTAAGCAGTGAAGAGATGCGACCATCCATCCCAGATGGCCATGCACACATCGGACACTGGGCAAAATTTGGATTGGAGAAAACTAATATTATTGGCGCCTGCTCAATAAGGAAAGGCCGCGTATTCCTGGAAACAATGCACTCAAATGAGGCATTAATCAACCGGCATGCCGATCTAGAAGCCACATCCGAAATTGGTTAGCACAACTATAAACTGGCTCAGCCAATCTCAAGTAGGTGAATATTGTAATTAACATGCATTGGCACACATTTTAACCAACCATGGAACCCTTTGTTAGATTCAGTTCAGAAGTCAATTTTTGTACACACCCGTAGTTTGAAGAAGAGCTGCGGAACCAGTCAGTATAAGTTGCACGGAAAATTTACAATTTCTCAAAGAATTCCATTTTCCTAATTAAATTTCTTGGGACGCCTGTTTATCAGTCCCTACTTACGGGTACATACATTTTTCTATAAGTAGGCCTGTAATATACTGAATTATATTGAGTTACAAAAATGGATGTGGTAGGCAAACAGAATAACTAAGAGACACCAAAATAAGCGTAAGTGGTGTTGTTACGCCCAACCGTAAATATGGCCTATCCGTTTTTGAATGCGTTGCATCGAAATGGCACTTCATATGTTTTTGTCGTGTACTTAATTATTTAGTTTGCATTTCGTGATATTTCTGGATTCTGCATATAATTCCCAGGGAATTATGCGGCTCTGATTTCTCGTGTAGGGTAAACAGCAAGTAAACTACAAAGAATAATAAATACTCAACTCTAAGTGAGGGATGCTGCGTTTCTTACAAGAAAAACAACGATATCAAAAGGAGTATAAGAAAAACGATAAAAGGTAAATAATCGTACAGACTCACGAAAAATAAAGCCTTCTCCAGAATGGTTGGCCGTAGGGTGAGGGTTCTGGGTAAAATCCCGAGACGAAGTTAGTTAATGAGGCTTGTCGCTCAGGTGAATTTACGTCCAGTTAAATATCGCCAAGAGATATAAACGTTTCGTGTCGATTGACTAAAAGCGATTGAGGCGAAAGAATGCAATCAAAGAGACAATGACATCAAACAACAGACGGACACAAAAGTCACGCTTTATCTCAAGCCGAAACCAAGTGTATGCATTTTAGCCAATTCAAACAACCGTATAGAAACGTTCAGGTGTACATGAAAGTTTAGAGTGAAAAATCGAAAATGTGCGTAAACCTACAGAAGGCGCGCAGCTCAATTTCAAAGATAAGTGAAGCTCTGCATTTATCTGGATATTCTTAAGTAAATATTGCCTGTTTTTTTACTTGAGTCCCTTTTAAAAGTCGCCTTTCAATATAAGGTAAAATTTTTTCCCGGTTTTGTTTGACAGTCTGGCAAAATAGTCGTATTTTGTAAAAAATCCATTGTAGTGAATCCTTTTCCTACTACCGCTTTCTAGTTTTTGTAGTTAAAATACAGTAATACTTGCTATTCAGTGCGCTTTTCCGTACGTTGGCAACGTTTTGATCCTTCTTCTGTAACGAAAAACTTTTTTTTGTCTGTAATGCCCCGCAGAGCCCGTGCTAAAAGGCGAAAGCTTGCGGCCTCCCCACCGTCTCTGGGTGCTAAAATCGTGACTGAAGACATAGCAGGCGCCACCGTATGTTCTTCGCCGTCTGCAGATCTGATTAACTCACAAATCCCTTTAGTACATGTAGAACCTCTCGACCCTTCAGTCGTCCAAAAATACGCCTCTGCTAGTCGTAGCAGGCCATCAGCCGGCGAAATAATCGATCAGCTGATTTATGGAGACATAAACAGCACTTCTGAAAAAGTGCTTGTGCAAACTTTTAAACTTATTGGGGTAGTAAGTTCGGAAACTGAGGAACGAATTAAACGCAAGCATAATTTCGTACTGCGAAACATTCCGAGCCACTTATCTGCTATGGAGGGAGCGCATTTGTTCCTTCAAAGTTGTGGCTTGAGTTTCAGTGCCGCACAAGCAAAGCGACTTCGCTCCATAGGGAATTCGACTACTTTTAGTGCTGAGCTCTTTAAACACACCATCACGCCTGGTATATACAAACCACTATCGACTCCTCCAGCAACCCCTAGTAAGCCTAAGCATGTGTCTAAGTCAAAGGCAAATCCAATTGTTGTCTCAGCCACTCGGACACCCAATAAACCCAGCACCATTATAAAATCTTTTCCTCCACAATCGGCTAACAGTGCCTCAAATACCCCGACTCAAAACGTAGCGGGTTCGCAACTGCCCCCCAGCCCTCATATTGATGTATTTAGGCCGAAAATGCCGATTTTTCCGCCGTTTAATAAAACTCTTGCTCCAATGGAAACAATGCGTCCCCCACCCCCTAACTTGTTTCCTCCACGGCCGTTTTACCAATTTATTCCTCATGATAATGTCCATACTGGATCAGTTAACTCATCCGATCCTTAGTTTCGTTCCGGCGGGAATACGTTGCAGTATCTGCCCCGCGGATTTCCAGCTGAAAATAAGTTAACTAACAATAGTTATCAGTTTACCTGCCCGTCATTCCCTTCCCCAAAACCTACCCCTTTTTATCCACGTCAGAATTTTTTGATGCCATAAAATTTTTTGCAGAACCGGATGGTTGCATCCGGACCGTTTGCTCCGTGGGCGACCCAGAACTGGACGATGTAGCCCACCTCCCTCAAAAACTAACAGCCTTTCCCTTCAAACTTTTTGTTTTAAATGCCAGATCCTTGCTTAATAAGATGCCTTTGCTTCAGACTCAGGCGTTCGTCCATTGTCCTGATATTGTTTTAGTAACTGAGACGTGGGCATCAGCCTCAGTAGCTGACTCCGAACTCTCTATTCTAGGCTACAATTGCATTCGAAATGATCGCCAAGATAGCCGTGGTGGGGGCATATGCGTCTACGTTAAGCAAACTCTTACATTTTTGCCGTTGGACCTCCCGCACTTTTCCGCAGTAGAAGGCAGCTGCTGGCTCCAGGTTGCACTAAAAAATAAGTTCTCCTTACTCATTGGCTGCGTCTATCGCCCCCCCCCCCCCAACGCCAATGACAATTTTGATCGTTTACTCTCACAGGCATTTCATGCTGCGGCCGACTCAAGCTTTAAGTATCAACTGGTTGCGGGTGACTTTAATCTCCCTGAAGTCCGCTGGTCTCCGCCTTCAGGCCCCAGAAGTTTCGATGACTTTCTTGAGGCTGTGGATGTTGAGATGTGCAATCAGGTTGTCGATTTTGCCACCCGAGGTTCAAGTATACTTGACCTAATTTTCTGTAGAGGCTGCTTGCCATCGTCAGTGTCATCTCTAGGCCCACTCGGGGACTCAGACCATGACATAGTTGTTTCAACGTTGGAATTCGAGGCTGACGAAATGTCGTCCCAAAAGTATAACTTTTTCCGCGATTTCCGATCAACTCGCTCAACCAAATTATTAACACACCTTAATTCCTACGACTGGACTGAGTTCTTCCTTAGTTCGGATGTAAATGTTTGTACTGCAAAACTGTACGAAATTTTGGATCCGCATATTTCTCGTTTTGTCCCCCGTAAGAAAATTATTAATGTTGGGGATGAGGTTTTCCTACCCTTACCCTTTCGTCGCAGATTGCGCAGGCTTTATCGTCGTTTCCATCTGCAGAATGATGTTTCTGTTCTGCCCTTGATTTGTGATATTTTTGATCGAGCTAAGAGATTGTCTGAAGAAAAACAGCTAGCCGAAGAGGTCCAGTTTACCGAAGACCATTCGTTAAATGTCTCGAAACTTTTCTCTAGAAAAATACGAACTCAGAGGAAGACGCAGTATCCCATCCTTCGAGACGATCTCGGAAATCCCATAGTTGATGCCCAGTAAACCGCGGATAGCTTCAATGATTTTCTCTCCAAAACGTTTATTGAAGACTCGACCATTCCGATTCCGACCATCCAGTCATTGACCGGGGCAGTTCTAGAAACTAGAACTTTCACTCTGTGGGATGTGACTGTTGCGATTCGGCGTTTTCGTCAATCTTATAGTCCAGGAACTGATGGTGTCCCAGTAAGCATTTTAAAAGCCGATGCAAACACGATCTTCCCATCCCTCTTATGCAAGATATTTAATCTCGCCCTTGAAAGTGAAACTTATCCTACCTTGTGGAAGGAATCACACATTTTGCCCATTCCTAAGCACGCCAAATCTACATCATTTGATGACTTTCGGCCAATAAACACCCTCCCCGCAGTTTCGAAGATCTTAGAGACATTGATCAAGGATAAGATGATGTGTCACTTAACAGTGAATAACTTACTGAGTGCTGCTCAGCATGGATTCCTCAAAGCTCGATCTTGTGACACCTGTCAACTCTCTTTCTTTGACTATGTTTTCCGATCTAGGGACCATGGTTTTGCTCTTTACACAGTATATTTCGATTTCACTAAGGCTTTTGACCGTGTTGACTATGCTCTTCTTCTCTTGAAACTGTCCTCTTTCGGAATAGGTGACAAACTTTTGAATTTTATATCCTCTTATTTGGGCACTCGCACACAACGAGTTAAGATTTCCAATACCATCTCCAACCCCACACGTGTGAGGAGTGGAGTCATTCAGGGAAGTGTACTCGGCCCGCTTTTATTTTGCCTTTTCGTTAATGATGTACCCGATTTATTTAAGAATGGTAGGCCTTTCATGTATGCCGATGATCTTAAAGTTGCATATTGATATAAGCCGGCAGATCATGACATCGTGCTTGAGCTCCTAAAGAGCGATCTACAGGCTTTCGCCCAGTGGTGCCGCACATGGCGCCTTTCTCTTTCTTGGCATAAGTGCTCAGTCATGGTGGTTGGCGACAACCGCCAACCTCAAATAAGTATTAAAGGTCACGTCATAAATGTGCCAGGGGGTATTAAGGATTTGGGCGTATCATACTCCAAGAGTCTCAATCTCTCGGAGCACTGTGCCTTGATAGTCTCCAAAGCACGTAGAACGACCGGGTTTATCCTCCGAAATTTTAATACTAGGGACATTAGAATGCGCCTTTTCAACATGTACGTTAGACCCGGTCTGGAATACTGTTCGTTTTCATTTAGCCTCATACGTGCTTCTGAGCGAAAGAAAATAGAATCCGTTCAACGCTTTTTAACCAAGAGAATTTCAACCCCGGAACACCGACATTTGTCTTACCAAGAACGTTGTCGGCTTACAGGCCTCGATCCTTTATGGTTCCGTAGATTACAAAAGGGACTATTTTTCCTATTTAAACTCTTATATAATCACACATTTAACCCACTCACATCTTTAAAACATCATATCCACCCACGACGTAACAGTCACCGTGAGGTCTTTTTATTTCTTCCTCTGGCACGTACTGTTAAATATCGTCGGTTCTTTTCTGTAAATGCAATTGCTATTTGGAATAAACTACCCATGAGTGTGAAAACTCTGCAAAATTATCCTTTATTTAAGAGAAATATTACTCGATTTTTGTATTCAGAAAGGCTCCCACAAATTTTGGATGCTGAAAACTCTGATCGACTTTACCGTAGCGATGGCGTTTGTGGTCTCTGAACACTATGGCCGGTCTCACCAGCTGTTCCTCAACGCCTCTACTTTGACTATCCCCATCTTCATGAAAGGAATTTGACGTCCGATAATCTCCGATACCGTGCAACCTCCCCCCTTCTTGACGGTCGATATTCTACCACCGCCGGCAGTTTTTTTCTCCTGAGCCCTCCAAACCATAACAACCACCATCAACTATATTTTTATCCCTTTAGCTCAGGAGTTTTTTTCACTGTTGGTCGGATTTGTGTTTAATCGCTTCCCATGACAATGCCTGTAAAGTGGCATTAAATAAAATTTATATAATTTTATAATTTATATAAAATCCCCCATTAGAGCGTTTGTTGTACAAAAGAACGATCGATAAAAAAATGCCAAAATGCCACGCCAAAATGTCTTTGAGTTGGACAGGAAAATGGATATGTCTACCAGAACGAGATGAGACGCGTGGCGCAATGATAGGGGAATCAGGATGTGTGGGTAGGGTGGTCGAGTGTGGTGGTTGAGTGGAGGGGACCGAAACGGGTGGATCGGGTGAGGACGGTGCAGAGGAAGTCGGTGGCACAATTGACAGCGGGATGCACTCAAGATAGGCTGGATTAATTATGTCAATAGAGACTGTGTCAGTTTTGTCGGCCTTCTGGATGACGTAATACTTGTCCATCCTCTGGAGAACCTTATATGGGCCATCATACGGGAAACAAAGAGACTTGCGAACCGCGTCCTGCCGGACGAAAACAACTGGAGCAGATTTAAGGTTCTCATGCACAAACACACGTTTGGACGTCAGAGGAGTGGGGGTTGGATGTAGGTGAGCCATGCGTTGTTTCAACCGCTGTACGAAGGTGCTCGGGTTGTTGGTGGTAGTCGTGGAAGACTGCACAAATTCGCCGGGCAGACGGAGGGGTGTACCGTACACAAGTTCGGCGGCAGTGCATTGGATGTCCTCCTTGACAGAAGATCGGATGCCCAAAAGCGCAAGAGGGAGATAGACACTCCAAGTAGCTGATTGTGTTTGGGACATCAGTGCCGACCTGAGTTGACGGTGTAGACGCTTCACGAGGCCGTTGGAGGGAAGGTGGTATACCGTGGTTGTGATGCGCGCACACCCGAACAGTCTAATGAACTCACGGAAGAGGCTAGATTGAAATTGACTCCCGCGGTCAGTAGTAAGTGTGGCTGGCACACCAAAAGTTGAAATCCAGTGAGTCAGAAAAACCATGGCGATATTTTCTGCCGAGATATCCGAGATGGCAACGGCAATCGGCGATCGTGTGAAACGGTCAACCGCTGTCAGTATATGCGTGTAGCCGCGTGAAGGGGGTAGCGGACCAACTAAATCCAAGTGGACGTGGTGGAATCGAACATCTGGGACGGCGAATGTACTTGGTGGAGAAAATGTGTGGCGGTGTACTTTATTTTTCTGGCAGGCTAAACACTGCCTAGTCCAAAGACCGATGCCAGAGTTCATCTTCGGCCAGATAAAACGAGCGGCGATTAGCTTACGAGAAGCGCGGATGCCAGGATGTGACAGGGAATGGCTGCAACTTGTTATTCACCTGTTGATGCAGGACTGTGCCGACAGCACTGTTGGAAGCGTCAGTGGTCAAGATCAGCTGTGCGTGAGGGTCGGAACTTAGATGGCGAAGCAAAGTGGCATCAGCAAGAGCTTTCTTAGCTGCCTCAAAGGCTGAGTGAGCTGCTGGAGAAAGTTCGATCGGCCCTGCTTTAGACTTCAGAAGGTCATTTAAGGGAGCTAGGGTCGCTGCACAGTGAGGAATAAAACGTCGATAATAGTTGAGAAGGCCTATGAAACGTCTCAATTGAGTTAGAGTCTTGGGGACAGGGAACGACAGGATGCTCTGCACCTTCTCTAGCAGCTGTGTGATTCCATGCTGATCGACGTGGTGGCCAAGGAAATTTAGAGAAGAGACGTCAAAGATACATTTGCCAATGTTTAATTGCAGACCATGTTGCTGGAAACGTTGAAATATCTGACGTAAGTGCGAGGCATGTTCCTCTGCCGAAGAACTTGCGACGAATATGTCGTCAATATAGACATAAGTGAATGAGACACCCCGCAAGACCTCATCGACGAAGCGTTGGAAGGATTGGGCCGCGTTGCGCAAACCAAAATACATGCGAGGAAATTCGAACAGGCCGAAAGGCGTTGTGACGACGGTCTTGGGGATGTCTTCTTCCTCGACAGGAATCTGATGGTATGCTCTCACAAGGTCTATTTTGGAAAAAAATGTTTTTCCAGCTAGCGTGTGAGGAAAATCATGCATATGAGGAATAGGGTATCGGTCGGGAACAGTGGCTCTGTTGAGAGCACGATAGTCGCCGCATGGTCTCCAATCATCAGTCGATTTCTTGGGTACCATGTGGAGGGGAGAAGCCCATGGGCTGGAGGAAGGACGAATAATTCCAACATTCATAACATGCTCAAATTCATTCCTTGTTATCTGACGTTTTTCGGGGTGAAGACGGCGAGGATGAGCGTTGCTCAGATCTTCCTTCAAAGATCATCAGCAAAGTCCCACCAAGTCATTCCGCCTTTGCCTAGTACTAACGATGTCTTCATTACAGAGGAGTCAGGCAAAGCAGACATTTTAAATTCGTTCTTTGCCAAACATTTCACTATTGAAACTGACCCAATCCCTTTAATTCCTTCGTTGTCTGATGCTTCTCATAGCATCATTAATTTTTCTCCTGAATGTATTCAAAAACTGATAAGCCATCTACCCAAATCTCACTCAGTAGGTACGGACAATATCCCAAACTCTTTTATAAAACAGCTAAGAGATTTTCCTCCTCTGCTTAGCAAAATATTTTCAGTATTTCTCGTAAATGGCTTCTTCCCTGACTATTGGAAAACTTCTATTATTATTCCAGTATTTAAGTCTGGCTGTCGTTCTGACGTACAGAACTATCGAGGTGTCCATAAAACACCCTCTCTCGCCAAAATCTTTGAAAAAATGATCGCCGTAAAAATTACCGACTTTTGCATAGCCAATCCAGTTATTACCCCATCCCAGCATGGTTTCTTACCAGATCGCTCTTGTGAAACATGTCATCTGTCCTTTCTCAATCTACTTACCTCTCTTCGTAATGACCATCTATCTGTTGTCGTTATTTATTTTGGTCTTAGTAAAGCCTTTGATAAAGTACCACATAAAAGACTCTTGGTTAAATTGGAAGCCATGGGAATTCGCAGTCCACTAATAGACTTTCTCAGGTCATACCTGTCTAATCGTAAACAAAAGGTTTTGGTGGGATCTTCACTTTCCAGTGAAAGCCCTATTGTAAGTGGTGTCCTACAAGGCACCGTTTTAGGTCCTCTTTTGTTCTTGCTTTACATTAATGATATCTCGGCAGCAGTTAAACATTCTCAATCATTTATTTATGCCGATGATCTCAAATGTGTATATTCTTTCAAAAAATCTACGAGCCTTCATTGCCTGGAGCAAATCCATGCTGACTTGCATGATCTCTCAGCTTGGAGCTCAAAATGGCTAATGGAATTCTCTCCGTCTAAGTGTCGCTATATATGTTCTGGACCTGATAGGCTACCCCAACCAGTGGTCTTTCAAGGCACACCTATGACTGAATGTACCACCATCAAGGATTTAGGTTTAAGCTACACTAGTAATCTTGATCTCTCGCCACACGATGACAGAATTACAGCCAAAGCTGCCCAGATTTGTGGCTTTATTTCTCACAATTTCTATCTTCCCGAAATTAAATTAAGTCTCTATCGTATGTTTGTACTTCCCATTCTCGAATATTGTTGCCCATTCTTTGGTTTTATGAATGAAGCTAGTCGCTTAAAAATTGAAAATGTTCAGAGACGTTTTTCCAAAAAACTTTTAGATAAGGAACATCCCAATATCTCCTACTCAGATAGATGCCAGCCAATTAACCTAAAATTTTTATGGGTTCGAAGACTAGAAGCAGGCTTCTGTCTCCTCTTTCGCATTAATCATAGTTCAAATTTTCCTCGGATTTCAGCACTCCCCCCTAGTAGTCCCCCATACAATCTACGCAACTCGTCCTTGATTATACCTCCTCCAGCGTCCTCCACCTCTAAGCGCCCCCTTCTTTTCGCTTCCAGATATACTTTCCTCTGGAATAACCTTCCAATAAATATAAGATCTTCGGAAAATCGACACACCTTTAAGAGAAGGCTACGTCTTTATCTGAATACTGACTCGATTAAACTTTTAGTTTCCTCATCCTTCCCAGACAACTTTTTCTATGACACTGAGAAAGGGCCACCGGGAATTTAGTATGCCGCCATTAAATCTCCGTATCTGTTTACATTTCCTTCCTTTGTGAGTATTCTCGCTTCCTAAGACCCCTCACCAGAAATGTTAATTTTCCCAATTTTTCTGTTCATGCATCGTGCCCTCACAGAATGCGCTCCATCGATGCTCTTGGTGAAACCTACTGTATTCGCCATATACTAGTAGTCTGGTCGCATCTCCCTTGCCCCATCCTCCGATGGACTCGGATTAATGTAACCGACCGCATCTGGGTTCCTATCACCTCGAGACTGGTTTTCATCGTGCCCTCACAGAATGCGCTCCATCGACGCTCTTGGCGAAGCCTTCTGTATTCGCCATGTACTAGTAGCCTGGTCGCATCTCCCTTGCCCCATCCTCGGATGGACTCGGTTGAATGTAACTGACCGCATCTAAGTTCCTATCACCTCGAGACTGGTTTTAAATTTCGCCACTTATTTGCCTTATTCAAGACCACATACAGGCCAGTCATGACCGACCCGCCTACTTACCCCTTCATGAAATCCGTTATACAATGCCATATACAGCTGACATTTATTTCGGCCCTGTTGATATCCGACTGTAATCCATTCTATACCGCCACATGCAGGCCAGTCCTGCCCGCATTTTTCTGTTTCTATTTTTTTCGAGGGGTTTTTTTTCTCCTGTAAAACTAATCCAATCATTTTTAAATCTTTGTCTGGAGTTTTTTTTCACCCCTCGCTTAACGGACTTCTAATCTCAAAAACTATGTCTTGCACTTTGTACAGATTTTGCCTACCTCGTCTAAAATTCGCATGTAAATTTATTTTTACTTGCTTTGATGGGACCCCGACGGGTCTTTAATAAAAATAATTAAATTAAATTAAATTAAGTAAACAGGTTGCCTAGTGGTTATGATGTACTGTTTAACCGTATGCTGAACCTCTTCGGTGAACTGACAGGGCCTAGTGAGGGACGGATAGTCCTCAAAATGTCAGCGAAAGGCGAGCTTGGTACGGTCAACTCCATGTTAGCCGAGGGTTCAGAAGCTGCAATGCCAACGGCAAAGAGTGTGGTTGTGGTGTCGACAAGTTTTTGATGCTTGAGGTCGACTGCAAGGCCAAAATGATTCAGGAAATGTGCCTCAATAATAGGAGATTTAACGTCGGCCTGCAGAAAAACCCACTGGAAACGTCGCCGAAGACTGATGTCAAGTGTGAGCGACCGTTGGCCGTAAGTGTTGATGGTGGTGCTATTGACAGCCTGCAATGAAAACTGCGAAGGCTTGAGATGGTGACGCCTTGGAGGCGGGATGACACTGATCTCGGCACCAGTATAGACAAGGAAACGGAGGCCACTCGACTTGTCACTGATATAAAAGAGGCGACTGGGTCGTGACTGACCAGCGGCAGCTGTCGCCGTTACTGGCTGGCGCGGTCGTTGCCCTGTGGTGAAGCCTGCATTTATGTGCAGGGAGGAATGCACTTGCGTGCTTTCCGACCGTAAATACGATGATACCAGCACAGAGATGTAGAGGGATGTTCACGAGATCTAGAACGACGGCGCGAGGGTGACTGGTTTCTGGCCGACTGTAAGCTATTTATAGCAGTGCACATTGTGCTCACCTGTGTGCACAAAAGACGTACAGTTCATTTAGGTCGTCATAGTCGCCTCGTTGAGGACTGTTCGGCTGTCTTGATGGACCTGATGGCGTGGTGGCTCTGCGTGATGAGCAACGACAGACTGACCGCTCCACATGAGAAGTGTCGCGTTCTGGTTAAGGAGTGCCTTCTGGACAGGAAATGGCTACTCTATCAGATCTGTTGGGGATCGAAGTCAGTTGAATATTGGCGCATGTCGCGCAGACTGGGTAACATTCACTGATCCTGTCGGCATGATTGGCCATTTTGTCAAGAGAGATGCGAATGTCCAGCATAGACAAAACCTGCTGCATGGGAACCGGCAATTTATCCAACCAGATTTGTCGAAAGATGTGGTCGTCCATATGACTAACAGCCAGCAATGAACGCATGTGGCGCATCAGCTGCGAAAGAGTTTGATCACCCAGTTCTACCTGTGTGAATAACTCCCGTAGCATCCGATTGGCCGACTTCGCACTCTCTGGATAACGGCATTCTTTAACTGGGTGTACGGGTCGTTGGCACGAATGGGATCAAGGAGGTCGTTGAAATCGACGACGACGTCGAATGAAAAACTTTGAACCACGTACGAGTATTGGGTACGTTCGCTAGTAATGCGGCTCGTTGAGAGTATCGCCTCTATTCGACGGAACCAAACCCCGGGGTTGCTCGGTGTAAAAGGGGAAAGTTTAAAGGAGACGGTACTGACGTCGGGAGGGTCCGTTTTAGGTTCGGTATCGGTCGTAGTAAAAAAGAGTCTGCGTAGATATAGAAAAACCGGTTCACCACTTTTGTAGTGTAAACAGCAAGTAAACTACAAAGAATAATAAATACTCAACTCTAAGTGAGGGATGCTGCGTTTCTTACAAGAAAAACAACGATATCAAAAGGAGTATAAGAAAAACGATAAAAGGTAAATAATCGTACAGACTCACGAAAAATAAAGCCTTCTCCAGAATGGTTGGCCGTAGGGTGAGGGTTCTGGGTAAAATCCCGAGACGAAGTTAGTTAATGGGGCTTGTCGCTCAGGTGAATTTACGTCCAGTTAAATATCGCCAAGAGATATAAACGTTTCGTGTCGATTGACTAAAAGCGATTGAGGCGAAAGAATGCAATCAAAGAGACAATGACATCAAACAGCAGACGGACAAAAAAGTCACGCTTTATCTCAAGCCGAAACCAAGTGTATGCATTTTAGCCAATTTAAACAACCGTACAGAAACGTTCAGGTGTACAAGAAAATGTAGAGTGGAAAATCGAAAATGTGTGTAAACCTACACTAGTCAACTCCAATACTTTACTCTCGACGAACTTATATTCGGTATCAGACTGAAATATTTTACGGAGCTGCCTGACATTATTGGACCTTTTGTTCGCTATCCAGTAGGTATCTGAGTTTGGTGCGCAGTTGTAATCCCTGTTGCCTAATCCTATATGTTGACCCGACTAGTTGTACCTGCGAGGTCGTCCTCCGCCTCTGAGTTGATTTGTGTTATTGGAGACTTTCGTGGCTAATATTCCGGCTCTAACCGTCCATTGTTACCGACTTTCTCTGTGCAATGTGGTAACCAGTCCGGACGAAATGGTTTGCTAAACTATTTCCGTAACTATTATGCAATTGGACTTCCTTCCTCAAACTTTAACTCAGTGAACTGAATTTTCTACTTTCGATGGCCGTGAGTGAATTCAGTTAGCTCATAGGTCAATTCAAGGCTGCACCTTACAGCTGAATGCTCTGCAAGCGTGATGGCCGTGAACGCAGGTCCCCGGGCCGTTCACCTTGTCGTAGATTCTGTCGGCTTTATAGAACGTGCCGATTTAAAGGTTTGGTTGTTCTTTTCCTATTTCACCCTTTCTAGACCTATGGTGTAACGGTTCACACAGTTGCGTCTGTTATAGCCGAACTCAGAGATAAGCGGACTCGGGAGTACGTCGCTGCGCTGCCATTCCCAATTTCAGTTGAAGTCCCTCAGCCAGAATCCGTGAAATGGGGTAAAAATTGACGGAGTTTAATTTGGGACTTAAGCTTGTGAAGTTTCGAAAAAAACCGGAGACTTCTTCGTCTTGTCGAAGCCTGACTTGGACGTAATCGCCCTCTCTTATGAGCTGTTTAAACAAGAGACTGGGAAAGAACCTGTTCTGAAGGAGGTTTCGGTTTTTCGGCCTAACTTTAGTTCGTTACAGGTTAGAAAATTTCAATTAAATGGGCAGACTTCATACACACCAAAGCCACCGGAAGCCAGGATTACACCTGAAACGACAGCCCAGGTCTCCGAGGCAGATGATGACCGCAGCCAATGTGGATTCTCCACTTGTTCCTCCGACGATAATAGGGACTTCGACGCGGTTTTAGATGATTCGTCGGATTCGTTTAAAGATGTTGAGGAAACTTCTGAGGATGGGAACGACTGTGACAAAACCGTGGATACATGTACTGTAGGAGACGAAGTCGATAAGGATGAATGGATTACGGCAGATAACTTCGACGAAAAGTTAGAAACTGGTCTTGGCATCGAAAATCTCCGGGTGTAAGTATTTTAATGTCTTTGTCCATATTCATGTGTGCAGCTTATTTTGAACCTTGTTATGTTTCATCATGACGAAAGGGAGCCGCCGATTAGATGTCTTAGGACCCTTTCTTAGGTCGAGTTGACTCTTACGTCTCATACCACTTGAATGGGGGTCACTGGGATTGGTTTCCTCCCTTAAGTAAGCTGGTGACAATTTAAAGAAAACCATGATAAAACGCTCACACATCCTATTTTGATACATGGGGGCCAGCTATCGCAATCAGGACGGCCATAATCAGCGAGCCAGGTAGAACGAAACGAATAGAGTGAAAAAATCAGAATGAATGAGTACCCAAGAATTGTACTCTCCATCTTACAATTGGTGTGCCGGGACTAAGTCGAGAAGCAGAACCGTAGTTGATGAGGCAGGATTTGGTAAGGGCTGTAAGTTAGAATGACATTCTCTCCAGCCATTAAAAGGCGGGATCAAGGTGTCGGTAAATCTGACGGGATGCTTGAATGTTACGATTTATAGACGTCTCTACTACGAACGCAGTATGGATGGACGCGTTGTTGTTCGATCAATGGCTCGAGGTTATAAGTGTGTTATCTTCATCGTTGTGGACACCAACAGGTGTTGCAGCCCTCTGTTTGTCACCTGAAATGGTGTCGCTTTCCCGCACAGTGTTAGGTGGGTGGTTAAGGGGAACAAGGATGGGATTTTTGAGTATGGGTGTGGCCATCTGATGAGAATCGCAGATATCTTTTTTCCCTCTTAGAGCAGGAAGTTGGACGGATACGATTTCTTCTCTGTCATTATCGAGCAGTATGTGAACATATTGGGGTCTGACAGAAGTAAATTGACGTCCTAAACGAGCGGGCCATATTTATATTGTTGGCCGCTCTTCAACAGAACTTGGCCGGGGGAGATGAGACCGGGACGTAGATTTAAGTCCACTAAAAGGAATTTCAGCACCTATGGAGTCGAAGAAAATCATGGCCAAGTAAAAAATCGACACACGAGTTCGGCAAGACCGATAACTTTATATTTAATCGAGACGAGATCATGCCTTTGCGTGGCGCTGGCTAGGCGGTTGGGGCCATGCATATCTTAGTGCAAGGTTTATGAGCTTTCCAGTAGAGGTGTAACTGGAAACTGCCTGTATCTGTCAGTCCCACAAGTCTGTAGTTCAGACATTACGTTTAAAATGTGGTCAGGAACAGTAGCCGATGCTACAACAAAAAGGATCAGATGTGTAGAGGAAGAAATGACCCACTATTTGTTATCAAGACACCTGTGCAGAAACCAGATCTGCGCATAAGTAGAGGCCTCTCGAATGGCAAATGTTTCCCATCGTCGGGCCGATCGGAGCGCGTCGCGCCCAAACAAATTGCTGACAAGCGAAGATGCGAGTTGCAGGGACTAGTTGACCAGAAGAAGAAGCGATCGTTGGAACAAGGGCTTTTTTTCGCCTGACGTTTCGGATTCTCGCTCGAACCCATCAGAGACAGCGACAGAGACGGATGAAGGAATGACCCTTCAGTTTCGTGATGCCGGACAAACTTTTTGGAAGTGCCCCTTTTGATCACATCCTTTGCATAACAAGTTGCGTGCGTTACGCATTAAATGAGGATGCTTGTCGTATTGTAGAATGTATGGGAAGCTACTAGATCAAGTACTGTAACAGAACTGGATGGAGTCTGGCACACCCTAGTAGCGGCAGAGCGCTAGGCTCTTTGAGGGTTCTGTCAAGATAAAGACTGTTTTTTCGCCAGCTGCCTGATAAAATGCAATTTAGACGTTTGCAGTCTTCTGAGCGAATAACCTCTACCCGGTCCGATTTGATGAGAGTTCGCCGATGAACGCGTCTCTGATTGCATCGCCACGACTTTGGTTTGCCGTAACAGCTCTAAAATCGCAGTTCTTCGCTAAAGACCTCCCCACACTTCTGAGCGAATTGGTCGACAGTTTTTCCGCTTTCCTGTCTGTAGGTCGTTAGAAGATGGCGCGCAGAGATTTCGTCTTTGGGTCCTTTAGTAGATGTCTCGCTGCAGTCCAACACCTTCGTAACCGGGGCATTCACGGGTGCATTTCCAGGCTGTTGTAGAAACGTAATTACTCAGAACGCTCACTTTGTTCGATAGCGGACGTGAGGTTTTCACACGTGCGAAACCAGTGTTTCCATTGTTTGGGAGCGTCTGAAGCACTTGGATCGACATCGAATTGTTCTGGTCTGAGAAATTGATCCATTATTGGGCTCTGGGATGACCAAACTGTCGTAATCTTATTTGCCGTCACGGGTTTACGCGGTCTTCAGCGGTAAAGTTGTCGCCAGTCAGCCTCTTGTTCAGCAATCAGTTTCCAACTGTATACCACATACTCCCAAGCATTTTATCTTCAAAATTCCGATGAAAGGCAGCTCTCTGCCTTCCTGGATAGTCACCCAGACATTTTTGGTTTCACGATTGAGAGTTCACATCGCTGTCGCAGCTTGCCCAGGCAACCCGAGTTACAGCTTTCTTGCCCAGTGTCCGGCCAACGTTGTTTCTAAAGCAATCGATAAGAGGACGGTCATGTCACATGTCAAGTTCGACCGCGAAACAGTGAATCGGCTCATGTCCATCTGTGAAAGATATGAATCATTACAACTTAAGTGTAGACATAACTTAGGCCCAATTTCTACCAAAAACTGCCACTTTGCACGCAAGCAGACACGGCTGCAAGACCTCTTATGCGATCCTCGATCAATCTCTGGTCGAAAGAGCGGAATTTTGTTTGTGTGGAAGAATAAGAACAGAGCTAAGGTGCCCTAATCCTGGACCGCCGCTGCTGCAATTTCCTACTTTATCGTCAAGCAGTGCTTTGTTCTACCCCTGCAAGCTCATTATCTATTTCGACTCATCACTTTCACAGCCAACAGCACCTGGATTGTGTTTGTCACAGGACGTTCCCGTTCCTGACCCTTTGCAGTAGCTTAAACAGGAGCAATGGTGGGCGTTTTGTCAGATCTTTCGAACGTACCTGCCACATCAGTCGTTGTTAGAAGTCTCAGGAAGTTGAGGTACAGAGATGACTTCTCCATACTCCTGATTCGCTGATTATCCCAAGCACATTCTTCGCTTGGAGCACTGGAGCTCGCCAGTTCTGATAGGGTCTCGAGTGTACAGACATACTACTTAGGGGGCCAGCAATACTTACTTACTTGTACTTGATACGGCTGCGATCATGCCTGATCTAGCCGGCCTCGATGATGTCCCGAATTGTACCTCTCCACGCGTGACGATCCGCGGCAGCAGATCTAGACAGCTCAACCCATTCCCTTCGCCAACGACGGAGACCGAATACCGAAGGTCCAAGAACCACCTCCATGTCTTGACGGACAGTGTCGAGCCAGGTTTTGAACTGACCCCCTCTTCGACGCCTCCAATGGGGCAACGGCGCCGGATCGAGGGCAGTAACACTGAGCTCCTGAGGTGGACGACGAAGAACATGCCCGAACCACCTCAGTCGTCTTTCTTGGATGGCCTGAGTTATCCTCGCGATGTTGTCGCAGCGAGCGCGGACTATCTCATTTGAGACGAAGTCGGTTAACTTCACTCGGAGGATGATCCTCAAGCAGTGGTGGTCAAATACCTCCAGTTTTCGCTCATCCGCCACGCGCAAAGCCCAGCATTCACAACCGTAGAGAAGGACAGACCGGACAGATGCACGGTACACGCGAATCTTAGTGGCGATGGAGAGGTCACGTCGGTTCCACAGGCATTTCCGAAGGCTTGAAAAAACCCAGCGGGCAGCATCGATTCGGGAGAAAATGTCGTCCTTACTCTGTCCATTAGGCAGCAGCCGCGCCCCGAGGTATTTAAAACTGTCCGCTTCTTCAAGTTGACAGCCATCAATCCCCAGGGGTGCCTTCTCCTGGTCAGGGATGCAGCTTGAGAATACTTTGGTCTTCCCAGCGTTTATGGACAAACCGACTGATTTAGCGACCTCGTTCACTCGTGACACCATAGACTGCAGATCACCAAAACTTGAAGCAAGTAAGGCGATATCATCGGCATAGTCGAGATCAGTCAGTCGATGTCCGGGTGCAAATTCAACACCGTCACTGTCGCGTAGGGCCCTCCCGAGGATCCAGTCAATAGCGTAGTTGAACAGTATGGGTGACAGGATACAACCCTGTCGGACGCCAGACCGAATACCGAACGGTTGGGAAAAATTGTTACGGACCAGGACTCTCGCAGTAGTGGAATGATAGTAGGCCTTGATCATGGCGATGATTTTGGCCGGTACACCATCTAGCGCCATTATCCGCCACAGGGACTCACGGTGAACGGAATCGAACGCAGCGGCAAAGTCAACGAAGCGGACGGCTGTCGGTTGTTGGTAGCTATGGCGAAATTCGAGAATGCGCCTCAGTGTGAATATCTGATCTGCGCATCCACGTCCAGCACGAAATCCGGCTTGGTTGGGCCTCGTCCTTGAGTCACGCACAGCCTGGAATCGTCCGAGTAGGACAATAGCGAAGATCTTCGCAGCAACGTCGATGAGACATATGCCGCGGTAGTTCTCGCATCTCGTCTTATCTCCCTTCTTGAGGATAGGTACAAGGATGCCTAAGCCCCAGTCATCAGGGACAACCTCGTCTTTCCACGCGCGTTCAATCACCTCATGGAGCCAGGGCGCCAGAGTGTCGACACAAGACTTAAAGATTTCAGCGGGTATACCGTCCTCTCCGGGTGCCTTATTGTTACGCAACTTTCGTATGGCATCGGCGACTTCTTTCTCGGAGGGGGGATCGCATGGCACTGCATAGGTAGGAGAGGGAAGAAACTCCGCTGAGGAGGAGAACAAGAGCGATGTAGGTTGGGTATCGAACCCTAATGACAGACTTTCCGTCCTTGGGGACTGTTCCTAATGTCCGGTTGGATTCTTTGAACGTAACCGAAGGAAAACGGTGCTCTGTTAAATCGACTTGTAGATTTTGGTTGTTCATCCGCGCTTCTCTTCTTCGTGTTAGAGACGATGAGTTGGATTCAACGGAAGCACCTCCAGTTGCCGTTGCCTGTCTGACCAAGGACTTTGCCATCCAGAACGTCCTCATGCATGCTGGCATCACCCTCTTAGCGCTCAGTGGCAAAATTATAAAACGTCCTCGGACGCACGTGCTCTGGTGCGGGTCCTGCTACGCGTAAGCCACTTTTTTAAAAATTAATTAAACGTCACAGGATGTTGCTTCTTTCTTTCCAGCTTACGAGCCGAAGCCCCTTTAAGGACTATTTGTTTTTCCTTATTTGTTGATCGTTGTGAAATAATTGTCACAAAACGGCCACCTACTCTACCTCTTCCGTCAGCTTATTGAGATTTTACTTTAAACATTCTTGCAGTCTACGCTGCACTTGTGCCTTCTTAGTTGTCTAGGCATCTTTACCCGCTCGCTGTAATTTGCCCGCAGTGCGTTCTACGAGCATCTGATTTGTTGGACCCCGGCGAAAATGGAAGGACGTTTGACTCGAATGCTCGATGACAAACTGACCGGTGTTTGGACCTCAGATCTGCCCAACCTGTGGTCAGCCTATGGCGACCGATGGCTGCAGAATGAACGAATATTTTAAAGCGAATAATTTCACAAATTATTCAGTGCAGCACATGGAGTTAAGTCTCCGGGACACTCGAGGCCTGAACTCGCGACCTGTTAGTTAGAAGTCAAACGCCTCTAACCACTGAGCCACGAGTCCGTTGCCCTGCCTATATCATGCGCCGCTGTGCGGCCGCAGGTTGGGCTCGAGAGAGCCCGTAAGGCACAACGGAACGAGTGAGTTCCGTAAGAACGATCGGTGAGCGCCCCCTATCATTGTATATTCCCGATCGAAAAAGCCGACAGGGCAACGGGCTCGTGGCCCAGTGGTTAGAGGCGTTTGACTTCTAACTAACAGGTCGCGAGTTCGAGCCTCGGGTGTTCCACACTTCGAGGTTGGGTATGACTGGCTGACGACGGCAAATAAGCCAGAAATGGCCATTCCAGTCTCCCTTGTCTTTGTCGTTAATAATATACCACCCATATCGTGGGCGGCTGTGCGGCTGCTGGTTGGGCTCGAGAGAGCCCGTAAGGCACAATGGAACGAATGAGTTCCGTAAGAACGATCGGTGAGCGCCCCGTACGGCAGGGAAATCGAAAGGGAGAAAGCAGCATGTGCATCACACCTGGAGGATCAAACACTGCAAAACCTGGAGAGCTGGATCTCGATAAAGGTGAACGTAGAGCGAGAAAAGAAGAGGGTCCAACTTCTGAACAAAATGCGTACCCTACAGCAGGCAGATGCAGCTATGTCAGAACCACCATCCGTCCACAACCTCTCATCCAAACAGCTGACAGACGACCAGATTAAAGTGCTTCAGCACGAATCTGGATACAACACAGGTGACGCGCAGTCACTGGATTTTATTGCGGCATTGGAAGCGACACTCGCAAAGACAGATACAACCGAAGACTCCAAGAACTCCATTCGCCAGCGAGTCTCATCCCTCATCATATCCCACAAGCCACGTCGGACCATCTCCTCGGCCGAATTAAAGGCCATTAGGGAATTAAAGGTGGACGAAGAAATAATCATTGTTCCAGCGGACAAAGGACGGGCAACCGTGATCTTGGACAGATCAGAGTACGTCACAAAAGCCCGGGAACTACTAAACGATAACCAGTCATACAGAGTCGTCGACTCTGACCCCATAAAAACACTGGTCGGCAAAATTAACAAGGGCTTAAATCAGATGAGGAGCCAAAAGGCGATATCTGAAAACGATTGGAGACAAATGAGACCGCAAGATGCCGCTCCAGCGCGTTTCTACGGTTTGCCAAAAATCCACAAGCCAAATGTCCCCCTACGACCCATCGTAGCGCTGAAAGGCACACCTACCTACGGACTGGCTAAATGGCTTACCAAGCACTTAAAGAAGCTGACGGAAGATTCCGAACACACAGCCGCCTCCTCAACGCACTCCCAGAAAAAGTCCGAGGCGTGACAAAAGCCCCCGATGAGATCATGGTATCCTTTGACTTCGTCTCTTTGTTCACCTCCATCCCTAAGGAGTTGGCCATGAGAGTCATCAGTGGCCTACTGGAACGAAAGTACGACGATGAAGGAAAACCGTTTAAAAGGAAGCACGCGATTGAGTTACTGAACTACTGCTTATGCACGTATTTCACTTTTAACGGCCATACTTATGAGCAAATCCAGGGAACCCCGATGGGATCCCCGATCTCTGGCTACCTGGCTGAGGCGGTACTACAGGAACTGGAAACTCGTGTATTTCGGTCCTATAAGCCAAAATTCTGGATGCGCTATGCCGACGATACCTTTGTCGTCCTACACCGAGATGCGAAGGAGACCTTTAGAGGGGAATTAAACTCCATCTTCCCACAAATCCAATTCACAATGGAGGAAGAACAGGACGGAACGCTCTCTTTCCTCGACGTGCGGGTAACGAGGCAGGAAGATGGAACACTCCAGACCAGTGTTTTCCGAAAAGCTACAAACACAGAGAAAATACTCCACTACAACAGCATCCATCCCCTGTCGCATAAATGCAGTTGCGTCCGGACACTTCCGCCTCATCAACACGCACTGCAGCACAGAGGCTGAGAAGCTACAAGAGCGTGCGTCCCTGTGGCACCTCTTCCTTGTCAATGGATACCCACGTAGCTTCGTAAACAAATGTCTGTTCCAACGACACACAAAGACTGACGGTGAGGCGAAACAAAAACCTGAGGTACTCCGTGTCTTGCCCTACATGAGGAACGTCTCTGAGGCCACTGAGCGTATGCTAAGACCACTTAACGTGGGCGTTGGACACCGACCGGAAGCCACCATCCGCCGATTAGTCATGCAGCCAAAGGGTAGGCTGCCCCCTGAGGGACGTTAGAATACAACCTTGTTGAAAATCGTGCTGCATATTGAATGAGTTGAAGAAATTGTTATGTGCCATGACGCAAGCTGCGACAGATGCCAGCAGACTTTGATCACAACAATGACTTCTCGGCATACCGTCTTTTCACATTATCCGCAGGGACTGACAATAGGCGGATCCGAAGGCTGCGACTGAGTCAACGAAGCAAATGGTCGTCGGTTTCTGGTGATCACAATGGAATCTAGCAGTGCTCCGCGATATGAATATCTGGTCGATGCATCAACGTCGAAACCAGAAGTCGGTTTCGTTGCATTTCCTCTTAGAGTGACGCTCACTCCGGAACCGTCTGAAAACAGCGACAAGGGCCTTTGCCGATGAGACTTATGCCGCGGAGGCTTTTCTTCTTCGTCTTGCCTTTGTAGGCGACAAATGGATAGCTGAGCCCCGTTCATCAGGAACGAACTCCTCTCTCCACGCTTGCTCAATCTCCTCAGTATCGGCATGACTTGTAGACTTCAGGGAGACACCGTCCTCCAGGATTCCTTGTGATTGCACAGCCCCAACATTGTATCAGGGATTTCTTCTTAGGAGGGATGGTCACACGACATTGCAGTGATTGAAGAGACTTAAAACTCCGCCGGGGAGGTAGACAAAGCAATGGATTGCGCATCGAAATTGAGAGCACACCCAAAATGTTTACACCTCTGCAATGAGGCTGTCACTCATTTCCTGAACAAGCTCACCCAGTGCACTAGGCCCTACCACTAGCTCGGCAAATAATTTGACATCCGTCCAGCCAGTCCTTCTGTACGATTCTGAATGCCAGGCTGTACGCATGGATGAGCGAAAGCTGGAGGTATTTGATCACCACTGAGGACCATCCTCTGCGTGAAGTACATCGACTTGGAGGTGTTGAAGAGGGGGTTAACTCAAAACCTGGTTCGACACAGTCTGTCGTGACATGAAAGTGGTTCTCGGGCCTTCAGTACTTGGTCTTCGTTGTTGGTAAGGACAATAGGTTGAGCTGTCCAGATCTGCTGCCGCGGATCGTAACGCATGGAGAAGTACAATTTGTGACATCATCGAGGCCGTCTGTATCAGACATAATCGCCGCCTTGCCAAGGAAGGGAAGGAGTTGTGAGTGCTACAGCTGTCTGAGACCTGCTCCACAGAGATTTCCACATAAGCCGAGTAGTTTTTTCTGACTTCATCAACACTTCCTGACGTTGACGGAACGAGTGGTCGTTGTGGAATTTGATTCCAGCCGTCTCGACACAACCTTACGGTCCTTGGGGCAATCCAGTCATTGCGGCGCCGCTGAGTTGATCCGAGGATTCTGTCGACCGCTTCTCGGACTAGGAATTCTAGTGATAAATATGTTTCATTGTGTTTTTACAAGTTACAAAGCTAGTCTGCTACTAATAACACTACTGCCACCACCACCACCACCACCACCACCACCACCACCACCACCACCACCACCACCACCACCACCACTGCTGCTGTTGCTGCCGCTACTACTACTACTACTGCTGCTACTACTACTTCTACTGCTACTGCTGCTACTACTACTACTACTACTACTACTACTACTACTACTACTACCACTACTACTACTACTGCTACTACTGCCACCACTACTACTACTACTGCTACTACTACTACTACCACCACTACTACTTCTACTACAACTACTACCACTACGACTACTACTACTACTACTGCTACTACTACTACTACTACTACCACTACTACTACTACTACTACTACTGCTAACTATTACTAACTACTACTAACTAACTACTACTACTACCACTACCACTACTACTACAGCTACAGCTACTACCACTACGACTACTGTTGAAATCCGTTTTCTTTTAATTATTTGGTAGGAAACCGCGTTTCCTTTACATTTTGTACATGAAAAAAGGATGTATTTGGGTTTCGAATAATGTTGAGCCAGATCATCCGCTGCATCAGTGTTTAGCGATTTCCGCGTACGAAAGATCATATATTCCCCTATGCCTTTAAATGGGCACTATGTAGAGTTCACAAAGTTTTGCCATGAATGAGAACCATGTTGCATACTTTATGCAGAGTGTTAGCGAATGAACGGATACTATGCTGTACGAGTGGACATTACACGGTCTTAGAAGATCTCCTTATTAGAAACTTCTAGTATGAAATGTGAAGACGACGTGATTTTCTAGTGAATGAGTAATAGGGAGCATGTTTTCTATAGAATATAGTTGAGTTTATAGGGCTATCGAAAATCAGTGTGAGGAACGCATGCCACTTAAGTGGCCATTTTTTGCCGAGTGCGATTTTTACCGGAGGCCGACAAGAAGTGCCATTCAAAAGCCAACACCCTGGCGAGTCCAAAATAGTATGAGATTGAGCCGCGTGATGAAAAATATAACAAACCCGCCCGAGTAATCCTTCCCAGTCGGAAATGGTTTACTGAACTTCGAATAACACTTCATGGGATCGACCACTGACTGTATATCCAACAGATATGCCATCACTAGGTTTCCCTGTGCTTTCTGAGACATCATTTCGCCCCACTCACCCCTCATCTCTTTCGCCCTTCTCTCCACAGACATACAACCAAACAGGGCACTTACTTCTGTCCACTGTGTGGCTGTCCGAATTTGCGACGGATCCCCGTCACCCTGCACGAGGATGGTGAGCTGGAATTCCACTTTGCCAGACGTTTCAACAAGAGCCTGCGTGGTACAAAGGTACGCATGGATCGCCTTCATTACAGCAAGCAGCGTCCACGGCTAGACCCAATCTTAGGGTGTTACGGTAACTCGTCCAGCCTGGCGTTGCGAACAATGAGGAGCACCATTGTTCTGTGGGTGCAGGGTTGACTTCCCCGCAATACTTGCAAAGCACCTGCCTCACCCCTCCTACACGCAAAGCTAAAGATGGGTCTGGACGCGTTACTCACGTGCTGGTACCTCAGTTCGTAAACCTGGATCTCTCTCATACATCTGCTAGTTGCCATAGAGTCACCGTAAGATGGGCCCACTACAACCTCTTGTTTTACGGTACTAACTATCAAGACACAGTGGATGCGCCACATGTCTCACGAAATGTTCACCGAACTTCTGAAATATGTGTTTGCATTCGAAAAGATTATTAGGATTGAAGTACTAACTTCCATGCGACATAATCCTACGATATTTCGGACACCTCAGGTTTCCGATTTTTTAATGACCCCTTTGGCCGTCCAAAGAATACACACAGCAGAAATTATTACTTAGGTAGCATGAAAATTTCCCATTGATTTTCGTCTCCCTTGTAAGTTTTCTTGTATTCTGCAGGAAACACGCCGTAAAATGTCATTTCTTCTCTTCATGTGGTAGGAAATCAATTCTCCAAATTTCACACTTAAAGGCAGGGTGTCATTCGGCTTTGAACCGTGAAATGTCAATTCATACAGCTACCTGGTTTGCGTTCATTGCACAATTTTATGAGTCCTATATGATGTATCCCTAATAGCATGGAGAAGCGTGTGATATTCCCTTGACGGAATGTATGCAGTATATAGTTTGGCAACTCTGAACGCGAGTGTAACAGCTGGTGGAGAAAGGCATTTTTCGGGAATTGAAGTTTTTGAAAGCCGAGAGATACTTATCTATAAAGTCTGGAGAAAACGTGATTTGCTACCGGATGAGTGCAACAAATAGCATTTTGAGCATGTTTTCTATAAGTATATGGCTGAGCTTATAAGGGAATCGAAAATCAATGGGGGAACTTTCATACTGCTGAGGCGGTCATTTTCGCAGAGTGCGGTTTTGCGGACGCCAAAAACTCCATTCAGAAGTCCGCATCTTGACCTTACTGAAAGTATTTTCGTACTACGCTGCACGGCAATCGGTGCTACAACCTTACTTAAGTAACCTCTCCAAATCAAAAATATGTCTCAGAATTTTGGTGAACATTTCATGAGACAGCACGTCAGTTGACCCGCTCCTAGGCTACGCTTTTTAAAGTATCACCATAGTTTAGTGGCAAACCAACGTTCTTTTGAGAAAAGGTCGCGCGTGATCGGTCTGCCTCTCGTATGATGCACCAGTTAGTCAAATCACGTGCAAAGTAACGCAGCCTCTTCTGAGGATCAGCAGCGGAATCGAGCCAACTGAAATCATCTACAACTGAATGTTCTCAAGTTTTGCTTCTACATTTTCACGGAAAATATTCTGTTAAATGTGTATATTACTGACAACATTTCAGTACCATGTTTATTTATAGTGAGATATTGCATGTACCGTTTACAATAGGGTTTTCAAAGGCATTGCCTATTACTCTTAAAATATACTGACTGATACTGACTGACTGAACAAAACCTTGCTCTCGGTCTCGAGGGGTTAGTTATCCAGTCGGTTCGGTGAGTTGCGCGTCAGCTGGCTTGGAGTTAGGGGATCCTTGCATAGCATCTATCTCACTTTCCTCCCGTTTCCATCTAGTCAAATTTCGCCGAAATCTGATTTATAAATCAGACATGAAAGGAATTTTTCTTTAGTAAACGGCTATCTGCGCCTCAACACACTTCCAATTTTGATCCTGGCGTTTCGTGATTTAGGCCGTCGACTGCGACTTTGACCACTACTAACTGCATATTTACCTTCTCGAAAGCCACAATTCTGATCGGGATAGATATTTTAGAGCCAACCACCTGTCGGAATGAGGTGAGAAGGCTTGATTCGGTGGTCCAGACCTGGTTAATGTTCGCATTGGTTAACCTACAAGGTGCTGGATCTTTCTTTTTCGTGAAGCCAAGTCCACCCATCTATGCCATCACGTTTTGGCTCATTCGTGCTGATCGCGGTTCCCTTTTGCCCCAACAATTTACAGTTTCCCGTGCGTCGTCCAAAAGGCGGGAAGAATGCAGATGAGCCCATCTACCGAGCTGACCAGCGCCTCCCCGATAGAAGACCGCCGAAGAAGAAGAACCCCCTGGTCATTCCCACCGCCGCCACCAACGGCCTCCTGGATGCCGATGACGCGGAGGCCAGTGTCCTATTCAATCCCACAGAGCTGAGCCATGCCTTCCTGGGTGGCGAAAACGACCTCCTCAACGTCATGTTCCCCGCGCACGACGTCACCAGCAAGGCTGCGACTCAGGGCCTGCGTGCTGACGGTCAAATTGCACCGCACTGCTGGGAGACGCCCAACGGTCTGCATGGACTGAAACCCACCAAGTATCTGGCCAATCGCCCTGGCCGCAGACGCACTGGTGGCAAGAGGAAGAAACTAACCAAATAAACT